ATGGATCGGCAGTGTCTGAGCTCCTCTTTCATTGGTCCCAGCTCCTATTAGGTGGCCTTCCCTTCAGACTAAGGCTGCATAACTCTTTAAACCTTTTCTCTTCACTTCAGACTTTACCACGTCTGGGAGCCTGAGGAATGCTTGTTTCACCCTCCTTGGTTGAATTCCCTTAACCCTGCCCATGCTTTGTGCCTCCGTTGAAACTCTTTAATTGCTTCTTTTGAGTTCTGTTTCTTGCCAGAACTCTTCTTAATGCAACTTTTTAAAGCCCAAAATGAAGAAAACAATGGAAACAAATAAATATCAAGTTTGGACATTGAATAAGCTGAAATTTGTTTCCTTGCATCATCATATACTGTATGAAACAAATTTATTTGAATATAAAGTGAATAATCTCTTTAAAAAAGAGGTCTAGTCAAGACTCACAAATTATTAGTACTGCCCCATGCTTAGTACTTATTGTAGACCAAACATCTGCAAATGGTACCAATTTGCACTGGAAAGTAAACTGTGTTTTCTTCCACCCTGGAAGGCCAATTTTATTTGAATATGACACTTTATTTTTCATGCAAAGAGACGTACAAAAAAATGGAATTACGGAAGCTAAATATAGATGACTTCAAAGCCACAGTGTTGGGCATTTTATAGGCTCCTCATTTTGATAATGGTAAAATCCTGCCTGCCAATCAGTGGACCTGTGCTTAAAAGACAAACTTCATTGTGTAATGACTTACCACCAACTCCATTAATGCAATTTGGGGGGTTTTGTTTTGTTTCATTTCGTGGCTCATTTCTTGCTCCACACTTCCTTGGTCTCTGGTGCTGCTTTCCACCATAAGTTAGAAATGAATTTTTTAAAATAAGCACTTGTACTTTGAACCATAAAACAAAATCTGAAGCTGAAATCAAAGGAAGAAGGTAAATTACTTTTAGTGCTCTGCAAAGAAACTTTCACTTGGCTATTTCCTGTTGTTTTGAAACTCTGAAAATCAATACAGAAACATATCATATTCTGAAGGCAGGTCATCTGTGCACTAGGTGTTTTTAACAGTTGGCTTTGAAGGGGATACTTATGCCCCCTTGACATGAATCTACAGTTCTTTGCACTAAGTGTCCCCATGAAACTACATTTTTGCTCAGGCTATCCATCTCAATGGTTATTACTTTTTACTGTTCCAAGCTCCCATCTTCTATTATAGATTCACTGATAGATCAATATGACAGAGGCAAAATAAAAGTCAGTTAGCTGTACATGTCTATTATGAGCCTGAAAATTCAGACACACATTTCTTCTGACAGAAGCCAGGCACATAACCGAACAGTTACGTGTCTGGGTGGTTTTCTAGTCCTTTCTGCACAAACTCACATTTCTGGAATCTTTCTTAATTTTGAGGTCCTCATGGCCTGTCAGGGAGTTAGGAGTGAGTGGCTCCCTAGGGGCAAGAGTGATTTTAAAATACAATCTTCACTTTTGAAGAAAGAGAACAAAACACATTTGCTGCTACACTGAGGCAGTAAAAAGGAGTGCTGACATGCTCGGTTCCTAAACCACAGGAAAGTGGACTGTAAAACCAAGTGTTGTTTCAAAGTCAAGGGAAAAATCTTTGCAGTCCTCTGGTGGGAAATGGGAATGCGAAAGCTGGCTTTGGGCAGGTAGGAAACCACAGGTTCCCTCTGGGGCTGATCCTTTCAGCTATTAATCAGCAACCATTTTGAGAAAGAAGTAGAAATCTGTCAAACATTTAAGCCACTGTCCACTAGATGGTCTAAAATATCTACTAGTATCAGCTGGGACAGAGTGCTTCAGGGACACGCCAGAGAAGGAAGACACAGGCAGCAAAAGAGTTCGAGATTCAAATGGTCTCATATTTTAAGATTTTTAGCTCTAATTTCAAGTTCTCATGGTTAGATTTGTAGCAAGAGATATAAAACTTGTAAAGCCCACCAAGGTTATTAGAAATTCAACTAAAACGTAGTTGAATTTAGTTGAAATTCAACTAAAACCAAGGTTATTAGAAATTCAACAAAAACGTAATTCATTACTGTATCATGTCATGCATGGATTAGACACTCATTTATTAAGTTCTTACTGGGTATCAGATGCTGTGCAAGGTGTTCAGGTTGGGAAAAAGCTGGTTTCCCTTCCTCAAGTAGCTTCCAATTCAGCAACAGAGAGACAGGTGAATAGCAATTATGTGTAAAATACACAGACATTTTCACAGTCTTATCCACAATCAAGAATACATACATGTTTATGAATCCAAAGAATGCTATACAGCAGTGGCTATAGGGAGAGGTAATGGCAGGAAAAAATGAGGATGCAGGAATTAACTAATTATAATGAATTACAGTAATAAAAGAAAGGCATTATATGGACTGGTAACAATTGGCTATGAAAAAAAGTTTACAGAAAAATAAAACAAAACCTAGGAATGATAATGCTGTGTGATGTGTGCATAGAGCACTGCTGGCAACATGAACGAGGGTGCTTTGCTCAGATGGGTTTGGAAAAGGTAGTTTCTGATCCGGTAGCTTAAAATAGGAGAGAACGTGAATCTCAGATTTAGAAAGGCCTCCTGGCAGAGTTGGTGCTAAAAGGACTGCCAGAGGATGAGGGGGCTTATCAAGTGAAGAGAGGTCAATAAAGATACATCCATAATATTTATAAATTCATCTATTCTATTGTAAAAAATATATAACATGAGATACACCCCCTTTAATTTTTTAAGTGTGAAGTACAGCATTGTTAATGCTAAGTTCAATGTTGTACAGATCTCTAGACCATTTTCACCTTGAATGAATAAAACTTTATACCTGTTGAGCAGCAACTCCCCATTTCTGTTTCTCCCAGTATATTTAATCTTTTTGTAATGTTAATTTCTTCTCCTCTACCACACATAAAGACAAGGGGGCACTTATTTGAAGACATGAGAGAGAACAGCAAATGTTTATTAGCTCCAAGGGGAGGGAGTGGCAAGATTTTCCGTGGCTGTTGGATTATGAACGGCCTTCTAAGTTGTACTATGAAATTTTTCTTTTATCTGGAGTGATTGGAAGCCACTAGAATTGTTTTCTTTAAGGGTTTGAAATGGCCAGGATATCCACTTCACAACCATCACTCTGGGGGCCATTAGGAGAGTGGACTCCAGGGGAGTGAAACCAGAAGCAAGTGAGCCAGTCCGGAAAAAGTGGCAATTTAGGCAAAAATCACAAAGGCTTCAAGAGAAACTGTGGCGGGGAGAAGTGGGTGGGGGTTCCAGGAGAGGTAACTCAGATGACAGCTCTGCGGCCTGTCTACTTACTCAGTTTCTCACAACTGGGCAAGTTAAACCTCAAACTGCCGCTGGAAGAGAGGCTGTGAACATGAAATTGGGAACAGCACCAAGTGCGCCTGGTGCAAGTGTCGTTTACACACTGAAGTTGGCCTTGATATGCAAACCTAAGATATGGCAAGCAGTGCCTTTTCTTTTTCACACGTCAATTTTAAGAGCAAGCTGAGCATGAGTAAGTATCACAGAAAACAAGATAATGAAAGACAGAGCTGGAGTTCTGTGAAAAATCGGTGTCTAGTATAGAACATCAAAAATTTTTCATTATTTCACTTTTCAAATGTGTCAAATATAGTAAATAACTGTGCGGTTCTAAAGAAGCAATACTAAGACTTTTGTTCTGTTTTCACTATAAAGCTTCCAATCAAGAATGTAGAAAAAAGAGAGGCTAAAACAAGGAACAAGCCATGTTTTGGTCAGAAGATGAGGCTTAAGTGTTTATGTAATTTTTACCAGCTTCATTGAGATATAATTACAATAGTATAAAAATCCTGGTGGCAATTAAATGAGTTTTAGCATAACACAGAGTTGTGCAACCATCACCATGATCACTATGATCTAACTTTACATTTTTCTTACCCAAAAAGAAACCCCTTTTACTCTTTGGCAGTTAATTCCTATGCCTTCCACATCTGCAATGATCAATCTGTTTTCTTTATGTAAAGAATTGCCTGTTTTGGGCATTTTGTATAATAGAGTCATGCAGTACGTGGGCTTTGGTGACTAGCTTCTTTTATTTACCATAATGTTTTCAAGACTCATGTATCATCACATATATCAGTACTTCATTCCTTTTTCTTGCTGAGTAATATTTCATTGTATGGATATACCAAATTTTGTCTATTCATTCATCTGTGGATCCATATTTGAATTGTTTCCTTTTTGGCCATTTGTGTAATGCTTTCATGACCAATTGTACAAGTTTTTGCATGGACCCAGGTTTTCCGTTCTCTTGGGTAAATACCAAGGAGGAGTATTGCTATGTTTAACGCTTTGAGGAACTGTCTGACTGTTTTTCAAAGCGACTGCACCATTTTATGTTCCTGCCAGCAACATACGAAGGCTCCAATTTCTTCATATCCTTGCAAACATTTGTTATTGTCTATCTTTGATTATAGTTCTCCCTAGCAAGTGTGAAGTGATGTCTCATTGTGATTAATTTCCATTTTTCCTATGTTTGTATATTAAATCTGGTGACTAAATAAATAATCTCTTCTAGCATTATTTATAGAGTATATTTCTCGTGTATTTTTTTGATATTGTAAAAATTTGTGAAAACTCTCCAGTTGTCTATTAACACAATAATGCTGCTTAACAAACAGTATACAACTCAAGGGCTTAAAGCATTCAGCATCTATTAGTTCCTGAATCTGTGGATGATGTAGGCTGGACTCAGTTAGGTGGTTCTGACTTGAGCTCACCTAGCTGTCCAGGGGTTGGCTGGTTGTTGGCTGGCCTAGACCAGCCTTAGTAGAACAACTTAGCTCTCTTCCATGTGTCTCCTGCCCTCCAGCAAGCAAGGCCAAGCATGTTCTTCCTAGACAGTGTCCTCATAGCGTAAGCTGACTTGGCAATGTGCAGATGCTTTTCTGTGCCTTTGCATCTGACAAAATTGCTTCCATTCCATTGGCCAAGACATGTCACATGACTAGACTCAGAGCCAAGGGGCAAGGAAAGATACTTACTTCTTGATGGGAAGAGCAGCGAAATCTTGTGGCAAAGGGCATGAATATCATGAAGGATGAAGCATCAGGGCCATGTGTAATGTCAATCCACCACATGTTGCCCTGTCATTCAGAAGAGAAATTGATTAAATTGGTGGGTCAGCACCTGTTGCTTCACTAACCTCCTAAACTATGGCCATATTTGTTTTCAAGGTTTGTGAAACATGCCGTGTTAAATATTCTCCTGGTGACAGCTATTCTATTTTTTTTTTTTTTTTTGAGATAAGAAAGATGCTTATGTGGCAAATGAACATTCTATTGTTTGAAAACTTCTTCAGTGCCATAATGAGAACTCAGGACAAACCTAGATCAAACAGCAGCAGGTACTCTGAAATATTCCGGGAAGTGTTTTAGCCTGGAATATGTGACATTATTTAAGTATTTATAAATGTCATATCATCTGTTTTAGGAAAAGCTAATAGAATATCTTGCAGACATTTCAGGTCTTTAAAAAATTGCTTCTGTAATCTATTTCCACAGAATCGGCAAATGTGGAAGCAGACGTATTATGGGTCAATACCAGTGAAAGGACGCTCTGCACAGACATAGGATTCACAGTCCATTAAGCTTCAGGTCTGCCCTGATGTGGGTTCCCCTGATATATTACTATTATATCCTATTTTTGTTGACTCAGTTACTATGTCAGCAAAACCAAACATTTTGGCTTGTGGCCCAGCCTCGAGCTGTCTATGGAGGATATGTTTTTGCCTTTACCACCATGACAGTAATGAGCAACTGGCATTAGTTTGATTTGCATAATTGTGTGCTTCCAACTTAGACTCTGTGTCAGTGGGAGACAACTTATTGTGATGATACCGACAGCATATTATCTGTTTTGTGCTATCAGCATTTATTTATGTAAATTCCATCATTACAAGGGGTCATTTTCCAACCATCTACCACGAAATCACATTCTCTGCCAGTAAGCTGGAAGAAAATGCCATAGGAGGGACTGGTGTATTCTGTCATTCACAGTGGTTGGTCAAGGTGTTGGAAAGGATATTTTTGGTGGTGACTTGCTTGTTTGCATTCTAGGATAGTTTGCTTTAAGGACTGACAGGTAAGATGACAATCGGGTAGTCTGTCTATGATCATTTAGAATGAATGCCATCAAGCAGACATTCTTTTTCTCTCACAAACATATACACATACACCACAAAGAGTGCCCAACTCATCTAAGATTTTCTTTAGGAATAATTTATGGTCTAAAAAATATTTTGTGTTTCCCAGATGATGAGTGAATGCTTTCTTTGATAAGAAGCAGAACTCTGTAATTTATTCATACAAGAGATAAAAAGATAGAATAACTAACTAGGGTATCCTACTTGTAAGAGTATCTAAAAATACAGTCAGGAACCATGTGAAGTGTGAGATTTCATTAACCAAACGTCACAACTCTGTTCACAAAACTATAGCCCAAGTTGATTAGATATCTTGTCATTAGAGGTGGATGAGCCTCCTAAGCATCAGTGTAACTGGAGCTGTAATTTATACATTGCTTTGATTGTTATCTCTGGTTAAGCACAAAGGGATGTCAGCATTTAACCCTACCTCAAGGAATGACAGTGTAGAAAAAAGGGGAAAAAAAAGGAACCCAGCAGCCCCATTTAAATCTAGTTGACACCTGTCAAAAGCGGCCCTTACTAAGAGGATGATAATTGGGGTATTACTCTGTTGCAAGCATGTAGTTCTCAGTCTGGTTTGTATCACTCTTCAGGCTGGTCAGAGAAGAATACAGAGGAGGAAAAAAGGAAAAACAACAATCAGAAGTCACATTTCATACTTTGGCAAGCTCGCATTTAAGAACTGTTTTTGCCAAGGCTCTTAATGGGAATCCAGTTGATCATTCAGCTCAAAAGGAACTTGGAAATAATCTTGTAAGAGGTTCAACATAAAACTCACATTTGGGAAAGTCTGTAAGGAAGAGGTGGAATTTCCCTAGAGACCTTTGCAAGCCCCAGTGCTGAGTTGAGATACAACAGAAAGGTATTTCTCCAACTCCAAACCTAATAGGATAATCCTTTGAAAGAACATCCTGTTAGGTGTATGATTTTTTCCCACTTAATTTTTGACACTTTGGTGTGCAGGAGGACAGTGGTTCACAGGTATATGATACATACAATGACATGGGACATTTATTCCTCTTGTATAAGCATTTAGAGCTTCAACTCACAACTAAATATGTTTCATACGACTTTTTCTCTTTTTTTCAATTTCCCTTCTTGATAATATTGTCATTCATTTTGTATTTTATGCATGAAATCTCTCTATATAAAACATGTAGAATCTGCTGCCACTTTAACTTCTGTTTAGAACACACAGTGACAAGTGAAACTGTCTCAAGAATACAGTGATCAAATGAGACACCACGAAGTACCATACAAAATATGTGATTAGGAGTTATAGACAAGATTTAATTCCCAGTCATTTTCTACAAATTACGTAACATTTGCTAGCCTTTTAACATGTTGGGCCCTCGGTTTCCTCATTTGTGAAATGCAGTCGAGAGCTCTAAGTGTTCTGTGAATGCAACCTTTGAAACAGCACTATGATTTGTTATCATTTGCTCGACTGCTTGCATTTGCAATAGAGCTAGGAATGGAAAAGTTAGGTCTACTGATGTTATTTCTCATGTGGTACAAGTTCTCAAAGGGAGAGGAGAACGTTCTCAAAGAAATACAAAGCCAGCCCATCAGCACACACCTTCCCATGGGAATACCTACTAACAAAGAGTTCAAATGAGTGAGAAAGGAAAGCTGGCTGTGGAAGAAAAGCTGAGAGAAGGAAAGGTCTGGCCACTGCTTCATCTACAGTGGGAAAAGGCAGCATTTCTGAATAGGCCTCTGTGTATTTGGAGACGTGGTAGGTTGAGAGCCAATGTGAAATGTTACCTAAAAGCCAGAGGGGCAGAACAGTAGCACTGGGAAAAATAATACCCACCCCAAATGGGGGCAAGACAACTGAAGGTTGTAGTTTAAGGAACTGATTGAGACCCAAGTGAGGCAGCTGAGCAAGAAAGACAGAAGGAAATGACAGAAGCAGTCAGAAAAAAGTGAATATGCTGGACCACAGCAACTGACAGAGGCATCTGGAAACAATGAGAGGCGGAATTTATTTTTTTTGAGAAGTTTTATTTGAAAATAAAACTCTGGTAAAACAAAAACCGTAATAACAATACACTCACATTTCACTTTCTTATGTTTTAAAAAATGATCAAAGAAACGAACACAAAATTCCGGCTTTGTTAATTAAGCAGAAATAAGATTTACAAAACAATTTGTTGTAGCCTTTTCTGATGTCACGAGGTCTAACTCTACTTAGCAGAAGCCTGGGGCATGAGAAGATGGCTTAATGAATACTTATTCTCTATTCCCTATAGCCACTCTTTACTCTGCGTACCCTGTTTAGGACATATGGAAACGTAATGCAAGGAATGAACAAAAGACTCTGATGTCTTTTCTTGGCTAATGACAAAGAAAAAAAAAATCCATGCTGATCATTTATAATATGTAATGTACTCATATCAAAGATAACATAATCAGAGAAGAGTGGGTTACAAACTACCCAATTGACTCAGCAGGTATCACCAAAATATTTGCAGGTTGCTTGGTAACTCAATTAAAAGTCTCTATTTAAATCCCAGATCATTAGTGACTGAAAGTCACTATCATTTGATGGCTCATCTCAGTCCAGTTCTTAGGGGAGATTTTCCTACCTCAGAAAACCACCAACATATTTGGCACTAATTGGCTCCCTTGGTGGAAATCTCAGCCTATAGGCCAAGAATTGAGTGGACCTGGGAGGATAAACTATTCCCCCAGCCTGAAAGTTGGTGCTTCTCAACACAGGCTGAAGGACATTGGTGGGTTAATATGAGATTTTTACATGGATATTACCTGTCTTTGGACAGATTGAGATATTCTATTTTTAAGAATATTATACTGGTGTCAAGTTCTTTTTTAAAAAATCAAGTTCCATTTAGGACTTTCTTATTAAAACATGTCTTCCCCCCTCCCCCCTCACCTTTTATCAACTCCTCCCCCATGCTTACAATGACTAACAGGAAGAATATCAAATTTTATTATCTTAAAATTAGAAATGTGAATTACAGACATTGATGTGACCCAAAAGACAGGCCTAGAGTAAAATGGAAATTGTTTCTTTACTAAAATAACTGATAGCTTTGCTATTTTGTAGGATATGATAAGAACTTCGGCAGGGATGGACACATTTATACAGTATTCATATAAGTGCATTAGAGCCTATTATTTGAGTACTTTTCTGTTGAAAATTGGTCTGAAATTGCTCTTTAGAAATAATGGATTTTCCATATATTTTGATGTTGACAGTAGTAAAAAAAAATCCAGTCATCAGTGAAGATAAATAAATATGGAGAACATATTATTAGAGATTTCAAGGTTTGCTACTAGAAATGATATTCTAACTAAATATGTCTACCTTGGACATTTGACTATTTGACATTTGATTATAGAATGACATAGATAATTGCAAAATAAATCTATCATATTTATGGTTCAATATTTCTCACACACACATACATAAAAGACGATGAGGACTATAGGTAATAAAACAAAGTTACAAAAACTAAAACCTAATGTAAGGGAATTGGACTGAGTTAGATGGCCTGGGCTCCAGTCATACCCTGTTATCTCTTTAGTACTGGATTTTTTTACCTGCATAGCTGGAATTAAGAATATAGAAGACCTTTTTTCAGCTCAGGAATTGTGAGATTCTTTCAGAAGGTATTCCCTTATAATTTTTTTCCTACTAATAATCTGCTTTTTTGTATACTGAGGCTAAGAAGAGTTAGTTATATTTTATCTTAAATGATTTTTTAATAAAAATTTTAAAATGACAAAACTGGCTGAATTTATTCGACTGCAACATTTTCTATAATGAAGCTCAGAGAATCTACTATGAGACATATTTCACCATATCAGGATAGTTTTGGCTTCATTTGGTCAAAGCGTTGTATAAGAGAAAGGTGGAATTGATTAGTAGTCAAAGAAGCAATAGGGAAAACCTCTAACATTTTTATAGCAATGAACTTCCTCAACAAGAGATTTATGAGAACAGCCAAGATGCAGCTCCCAAGCTGATTAAGTACACTAGCTTTCAACTATTTACAAATTGGGAAGATTGAGATTTTTTCTGAATTATTTACTGAGAATAGCAGATCACAATAATTTCTTAATTTCCATCATTATTTGATATTATGGTTTTGCTGTGTTCCCACTCAAATCTCATCTTGTGTTGTAGCTCCCATAATTCCCATGTGTTGTGGGAGGGACCTGGTGGGAGGTGATTGAATCATGGGGGCAGTTTCTCCCATACTGTTCTGGTGGTAGGGAATAAGTCCTACGACATGTGATGGTTTTATAAGGGGTTTCCCCTTTGGCTCTCATTCTCTGTCTTCCCTGCCGCCATGTGAGATGTGCCTTTTGCCTTCTGCCATGACTGTGAGGCCTCCCCACCCACGTGGAAATGTGAGTCCACTAAACCTCTTTTTCTTAATTACTCAGTCTCATGTATGTCATTATCAGCAGTGTGAGAATGAACAAATACACTATTGCTAATAATTTTTGTTGAATCTGGAACAGGTTTTTCACAGTTGATTTTACTCAGGTGATCTTTCATCCAGTGACTTATACTTTGAGGAGGCAAAGTTTTGAGCACCGTTTTCTAACTAATTTTTGTGAGAATATATATAATCCAGTTAAGTCCCATAGGCATTCAAATAGGCACCTTTCATTTTCTGCGGCTGCTGTGTAGATATTCAGCTCACATTAATAAAGATGACCCAGCTCTAGGTAAGTATCCAAATGTGTCCTGAAATAGAAAAAGAGATTGCAGTGGTTATGTTGAACCACTCTCTGATACACAAACACCCCATAAGACACAGCAGTTTACCAAGCAAAGTTTGCAAAATACCAGTCCTAAAGGTGTCTCAATGAAAAATATGTTTGGTGTTCTATTAACCTGAAACCTTTTGCATGCCATATCTTTCCTTCTGAGAACTACGGACCATAATAAAGTCTTTGAGAAATCCTGCAATGGGAGGAAAAGGCTGCTTACTTGCTTAACCTGGAGTTTCCTTTACAATTTGATCATAAATTCATTTTATTCTTTAATTTCTATTTACCTATATTCTAAAGAATAAAGTATCTGACAAAGTAGCTAGGTATAGCCAGGGATTTTCCATAATTTTTTTCCTAGTAATTCCTTCTATGTATTTCACTAGAATTCTTTCTTGTTGCCTTCACCTATTCATTGTGACTGTACACCTTAAAGACACACAGTGAATATTGATCTTGTGGCAACACTGCAAGTATTTTAAATCAAGAAAATAATTAATTTTGTCTCTATGACCCCTATCCTGCATACTAAGCACCCTCAGACCCTTCAGACTTTCCTTCTATACCATAGTCTCAAGAACATTTTTTATCTCTAAACATGCTCCGATTTGCTACTGCTTCTCTTAAGGGCAGCACTGGAGAGGGATTTAGTATCCCAAGTGACTAGAACAGAGCAGAGCAGAGGGATACTCAGATGCCTTATGGAGAATTCAGTAGTTTATCATTTCGCCAGTGATCATTTGTTCTGCTTTTGCTGAGGAAGACTCATGATGGATGTCCACTGTGGTAGGCCGAACTCTAAGATGGCCCTTGAGATTTCCTACCTCCTCATGTTCATTCCCTGCCCAGTTCCTGGGACTATGCATATGATGGATTTTACTCCCATTATTAAGTTTTGGCACAGTTGACCTTAAGATAGGGTGGGCCTAATATAATTACACAAGCTCTTTAAAACTAAATTTTTCTCTGTCTCCTCACAGACAAGTAAGTCAGAGGTTCAAAGCAGGAAATGGATGCAAAACATAGTTGCTAGTCTGACGATGAAGGCAACCAGGTGGCAGGTGGCATGGGATGTAGATGGCTTCTAAGAGCTGAGAGCAGCCACTGGCTGATAGCCAACAAGGAAAACAGAGACCCTAGTCCTAAAACCACAAGGACCTGAATTTGGTCAAAAACCTGAATGATCTTGGAAGTGGATTCTATCCCAGGGTCCAAATGACAATTGAGTCTAACACCTTGATTTTGGCACTGTGACATCCTGACCAGAGAACATGGCAACACCGTGCCAGATTTCTGATCTACAGAATCCTGAGCAAATAAACAGGGGTGTGGGGGGGGTGGGTTTAAGCCACTAAGTTTGTGGTAACTCATTACACAGCAATAAAAAACTAATAAATCCAGATAACCAAAGCTCACCATCTTTACCATATTTTGCTTTTATATGTGCTTTGTGATATATGACAGTAATGCATTTTCCATTTTCTCTGGCTGAACAGCCCTAAGTGTCCCACATAAATAAATATTACTTGTATGTCTTCTCTTCTTTGCTTCCAATAAGACGCTGTCAGCTTGCAGCCATCTTCTGATTCATGGATTTCCTCACAAATTTGTATTTCATGGACATGCAGATCTGTCTAGCTTTGTATACTTTCTGTGGAGTTTTTCCATTAATTTACACACTTCCAATTCTGGATTCTCAGCTTGAGGCACATGGCATAAGTGCTTTATTATTCATAGTATTTACCTTTATCTAATAAGATTCTAAGTTTACTCTGTTGATTACCCATACCCTAAAATTATTATGCTGATTGACCTCAAGTTTTGATTATGTCCTCTTTCTTCATTTGCTTCTTTGTTTTTCTGAATTACCAGGAACTATCTTTCTCACTCACATTCTTTGTCCTTTATAATAACTGTTATTAAAGATGGCTTCCTTTTCTTCTCCTACATTTTATTTTATGCTTATTCAGCTCTTGTGTTATTCATTCTTTGACCAACTATCTTAGGCCATCATTGCAATATCTTGAGCCATGGTCTAGGACACCTCAATCTGTTCTATGATATCTGGATATAGATAGCTCTTCACTGCACATTACCCGATTTATCAACCAGAATTCCAGCCTTAAAATGAACAAAATGATGGAGTTTTTATTTACCTAGGGCCAAAGTCCTTCAGCATTACACCTCTGAGGGTACTTATTAAACTTCTTCTCTTGTCCTGCATGAATAAGCAGTTATAGACACTAGAGGGTAAGCCTCAGAAACCTGTAACATCCCATAAATCCTCTCCGAGAAGTAGCAAATCCCTGAAGAGACAATCGATTACTTCAGCCTCCTAATTTTGTTTCTGAAAACCCTAGTCATTTCTTCTCAGTCTCTTTTGTTGCCTCCCTTTCCTCTGCTGGGTCTATATAACCACATTTTACTATGGGCTCAGTATGTGCTGGATTTTAGATTTGAATGTGAAGCAAAGAAAACTATACTTTGGATCCCATGTGTGTGGGTGGTTGGCTAACAATAGTCTCAATAAAATGTCCTCCTTCACCTTTCATAGTTTTTATGGAAATTAAGGGCTTATACTTTGAAAATATGATTCCAACTACCTGATTTGAAAAAGGCTTATGATCTATGCTACTAAATATCAAAGATTAATATCTACTGTCATTTGCCTTAAATTGCCACATGGTCCCTAGAACCAGGAAAGAATAAGAAGTCTGTCTGATTCTCCAGATAACAAACTTCAAAGGAGGCTTTTATTTTTGGTCTTGATATCCCAAAGAGTTCAAGGACCTCCATTAGCCTTGATCAACTCCAGCAGCACCTATCTTTTGGCAGAAATATCAATTTTAATCTTTTCGTAGCTTCACTTCTTAAAACTTGAGTAACAGGTGGGTGTGTATGATGCACGCACGTGTGTGTATGGGGATGGTACTCTTTGTTTACCAGGTGTTCCCAAGTATTTTTCTATGCTTTCCACCTTGATCATTCATTCTGAAACCCATCATTATTTGGTTTCCCCATTATCCTACAAATGTAGTAAATGCACTTAGTTTTGTTTTGTTTTGTTTTGTTTTAGAAATATCTCAATTGGCTTCCCTCTAATTAGTTCAATATTTCACTAATATTTACTTTTACTATTTATGTTCTTTTGAAATTTCAATTCTAAATCACAAAATCTGAAAATATTTCTTCAACTACAAAAATTTGATAACCTATTGTTAAAAATTCCTTTTAATAACCAACAGTACAAATTAGCTGAGCATATATATTGCTTATATAGTATATTTTATAGAATATTTTAACTTTCTAATATGCTCCTTAATACAATGTTAAATTCTGTTATGTACTTAAATATTAGTACAGTAGAGTGACAAATGTGAATTAAGCTCTAACGTTATTAGGTTATCACAGATATGTATATATAAAAGGTCCATTGAAAATCTCTCTGAAAGGTCATGTTGAAGACTAGGAAACCAATATTTTCCTTCAGATTAGAACAGATTGCTGTTTTCTTGATTGAGTTTCACATGAAATAGTTGGCATGAATTTAAGTGTCATATTGCACTGAAAATAAGCATCTTTCAGTGATGGGTGATGATTGAATGGAAAGCCAAATCATGTCTGTCATCTCTTGCTTGCTAGGTGATTCATGCTCCATTCATTATTAGAATGGTGGTAAGAATTCTCTGTAATTATTTGATTGTTCTTTCTCTCTTTCTTTTGCTTGCTTACGCTTTCCTTTTATTCAAAGACAGCCGAATTTACTTAATATTACTGTGTGGGTCAACTGACTACCCTATACTAAACGATGTATTGGTATGATAGCTACTCATTTTTTAGTTGACTAACTTTCTAATGCTGAGAAAAAATAAAATATATTTTATTCTAAATTTTCCCGTTATATACTTTATACCTTTTCAGTTTTATTTTGATATGTTTGAAAATGAGGAAAGAAAGACAGGAAGGGGAAATCAAGGAGAATTGAGAAGAATCAAGTATATGTTCTATGCTACTGATTCTTCATGCATGGTGCCATCAGATCCTTCAATTAATCTCATAAAAATATTTTACCCATATTACAGACAATAAAACAGACTTAGGGCAAGATCATTTGTCGAAGCTTACACATCTAGTATGCACAGATGCTACTCTACTAGGAAATACAGTAATGAGAGTTAAAGCCCAAGTTCTTTCCAGGACGCCACCCACTCTCTTGTCATCTGTTCTTATCCACGAAGTCAGACAACGGCTTTGTGGTAGCAGGTTGAGGTTTCCTAGACTTTGTTAACTGCCCCCACAGTTTAAATATAACAGTTTTTGTCTCATTTGCAACAAACAGGAAATTTATTTTTTTGTGGACCCGATTTGCTCCTACTCTACTCACAAAGAGGTTTTATGTTTTACAAAGAACTATTTGGACTACAAGTAAGATGACTTTTTAAAAAATTGCTGGAAGTAAAATGCTGATATAAACAAAATACAAGCACCTCAGACTATTGAAAACAAAGCTTAAATCCCTATGCTTATGCCCACAATGGTGTACTGTAAACTTGGCAAAACATATGTTATTGCTTATACTTTTGATTGCTTAAAATTAACATCATAAACGCAAAAGTGTGTTTTTTTCCCCCTTAGTGCTTATGAGATATGTGATGCAGATGGATGTGTGTTTGTGTGTGTGTGTGCATGTAGCTCTTATTTCCTCTTGAAATTGCATTGGTAGAGTATTTATCTTCTAAATACCTATTTTTAAAATATACCTATTTTAAAATACCTATTTTTTAAAATACCTATTTTTCTAGATATTTGTCCTATGCAAATCAGCACTGTATGTTGGCCCAGAATTGAAACTATACTTAAGTACATAATGCCAAAGATTTCATGCAAATTTACAGATGTTATTTTTTAAATCTTAGGAAGTCTGGTAGTTCAGAAACATTAAAAGTGAACTTCTCAATTTCCTTAAAAAATAGT